GTTGGTCCGCGCTAATTTACTAAAAGTGCTCCATTAAAGTAACAAACATTTATCAGCATTAAATTAAAAAACACTTTTATCCAACAAAATCAGTCTTTTTTTTTAGGTTAAATCTTGCTGCACTAAATCATTTTCATATTTAAAGCCATAAAGTTGTCCTGTGTGCTTTTTATTCATTCAGATGTTTAACTTTATTATATTTTTCTGTTTTTAATATTTATTTCCTACTATATAGTCATCGAAGTCTGCAGAGTCCTCCGGAAAACCAGGATTTCTTGTTTTTACCTTAAAACTTTAATGATTCAGGGTTTTATGTCACGATATGTTCTGATAATTTAGTTTTCTCCTGAGTGTATTTTCTGTATTTTTCCCTGTAGTCCAGTCTTGTGAGTTTTCAGTTTGACTCTGTTTCCCTCCCGTTCTCAGTGTTTTATTCTTTAGATCAGTTTTCAGTGTTTATTTCCTGTTTTATTTTGTAGGAGTTGATTCCTCGTGTTTCTAGTCTGGTTTCACTTCTCTAGTTTTCCCTCCTTCATTAATCATCCGTTAAGTCTCACCTGTTGCTCATTTCCAGTGTGTATAAATAGTACTGGTTGGTTTACTGTGCATCTGTGTTTGGACATTTTGAGACTAAGTTTTAGTCAGACTTTTCCATTTTGCTTTAATAAATCTTTAGTTCTGCAGTTTTAGGTCCCGTTTCTGTTGTTTTGTGTATCATACATGACATTTTGACAAATCAAGGGAACAAATCATTCAGTTCTTGTCTGGTGTGAACACGAAGAAAAGCTGATTACCTGAGAACTGATGATCCTGTACAGGACTCACCTTTTTACCGTCTTTTAAAACAGGCAGAGACGTTTTTATAGTTTCCGTTAAAAAGACTGAAAACAATAGAAGAGCATACATGTCGAACATCGGGTCTCAAATTAGGGTGGAAATTCTGTGTAGGTTTTTCTTTTAAACACGTATTTGACCAAAACTGCAGATGTCAAACTGCATTTTCCACGTGTGACCATCTTTGCACATATAAATAGTGATTTCCATGCAGAAGTCCAGGTCAGTGTTTCCTAAAAAATGTCACTTTAGCACCAAATCCTGCAGGGCTGAGTTCCTAAAAATCTCCACCCTGAAAGGTTTTTAAAAAATCTCAAAAACTTGATGTGAGTCCAGAGAAAATATATTTTTATATTTATATTTATCTGTAAACCTGTGCATCGTTAGAATCTGTTTAAAGAAAGTTTGAAGAAGTTTTCCACCTCGTTTTTTCACCTTGAACACGTGTGAGATCCTACAGGAGAAAACAGGGACAGAAATAAACAGGAGCTCATCGTCAGTCAATCATGTGAGAGGGAGAGAAGAAGAAGGTGATGAGACAGAGAGGTGTGGAGGTAAAGAGCTCTCTGAGGTTTTAACGTTCGTCTGTTTCTCTCTGATAATTATTTAACGCCGCTCACACCTGAAATCCTCCTCACTCTGCTCAAGTCGACGTTCGGAGTCGCTCAGAAACCAGAGAGAGTCGCTCATCTTAAACTCTCAGTTCCGTTAAAGATCTTCACTTCACCATCTGAGCGACATCAGCTGTAAAATCTCCATGATGGGGACGGACTGGAGGCTTCGATTAGAGGAGGAGGAGGAGGAGTCGAGGGGCTTCCTCACTAAAAACATCAGATGACGACGTTTCATCCCTCTTGTCCTCGTCTCTGCAGCTCATTCTTGTCTTTTTGTCCCTTTGAGACAATCTGGACCGTTCCTGAGGAGACGGTGTGTTCTTCACGAGTCAGAGATGGAGGGATGAATATCTCAGTCGAGAAAAGAGAGAAAAGGTGAAGATAGAGAGATGTTCTCAGGCCGAGACGACCTTTAGCTTCAAATATTTATACATGACGAATCATTCCAGGTCTGTCTCCTCCTGTTATAATATCAGACCTTTACCTCACAGTTACCATGGCGATGAAATATCACGATATTTATGGACGTGTTTAAAGTTAAACTACAACATGTAACTTCATAAACGTGATTCAGACTGTGAGGAGAGACCACCACAGAGCGTTGTCCTTGCAGAGCGGTGAGACTGCGGTCATACATGTTAGAGGTCACAGCGGGGGGTCACCCAGGACGCCACATGTGTGAGAAGTCCGTCCACTAACGCCGTTTTTTTCCCTCTGAAACAATTAAAATTGTAAATCCTCTTCAGAGTCAAACGAGTCCAAAAAGGCAGGAGCTTTTCTCCTCGCTCTGAGGTCTTCCTGCTTTATTGTGCCGTTTGTTCTTTTCATTTCACGCCGTGAAACGATGCAAATCACGTAAGAACGTGCGTGTGAACATTTGACGGTTCATTTGGCGAGCAGGCTGCTGACTTAAGTACCGCGCTGCCCTTGTTTCGCTGCACCTCTGCTTGTCTTTGACTAAGAAGCAAAAGTAAAGCAGGCTTAGCAGCCCCGCGGCACAAACAAAAGGAGAACATTTTGCAAACACATGCATATGATTAATGTTCCCACACATATCATCCATCCCCGCCGCCGCCGCCGCTGCTGCTTCCTGCTGCTGCTGCTGCTGCTGCTATATTACCAGGAAAGCAGGGCCGCACAAGATGGAGCGATCTGCAGAGGAAATACATCTGAGTCACACGCCCAGAGAATATGATTCAACTTAACAAGCTTTAAACAATTACAACTTTTTCATTTAGTCATATTGTAAAAGAGCATGTTCACTCTGTCACCGCCACCGCCGCCGCCACCGCCGCGGCGCTCTGAATTATGTGATAAGCAAACGTTTGCTGTGCTGTTAATTGTTGATTAGGAGATATACACTGCTGTGTTGGTACAGTCTGTTTGCTCCCATGTCTATGAATTTGTAATTATTGAACGCTATTCCTAATCATCGTTAGTCACAAAAACAACAACAACAGAGATTAAATAATTGGCCGTCTAATCTCGCGCTCCGTCTCTATCTTTCTCTTTCAAATCCCTCTTTTGTTCTCGCCTCTTGTTTGTGTAAAATACTCCTCAGATTAATTAATCTGCTATCAGTTTGGCAACATATTTTAATTCGCTCTGAAGAGGGCGTCACCTTTATTTATTTAGCATGAATTAAACCTTCAGCAGATCCGCGTCTGAGGGGGAGGTTCGAGAAATGACAAACCGATCATCTATACTACAAACATTTACTTTCCGTGTCTGAACAACTCTGAACAAGTTCAATAAAATCGAATTTAACTGAAAAAATTTAATATAAAATCGCTTATCTTTAAAAAGAAATTAAAATATACAATTATAATAAAACATGGAGAGCAGCAGGTTCACGAGGGATTGGAAAAAAACAGCAATTTAATTTACAAAATAACCGCGGAGAGATGATTAAAAAGGCAGGTTGGCTGAATAAAATCAACTCGAGGGAAAAACACGGATTTTTAATTCTTTTTTTGTTTTCTGAATATTTAATATTTCGCTACCAAACGGACTCGGTTAGAGGGATATTTCAGGATTTCTATAGTGAGGATGTCGGTCTGAAATACAGTCGATACAGAAGTGCTAAAAACTGCAGTTCCCCGAATGTCCACTAGAGGCTGTCCGCAGAAGAAGCTCGCTACAAACCCTGCATTTTTTTATTTTTAAAAATACACTATGCTGAATTCAAGTTACCTCGGAAGTCACATGTCCAAGCTGGGAATGACCCAAACAAGCAAAATCGGAGGTGATGGCTTCATCTATGAAAGTTATTTTAGTTCTTGCCTTGTCCTTGTTTATATTCGGACAAGGCCAGCGCTAAAATAACCATAATAGATGAAGCCATCTTGTTTCCGCCTTTGCTTTCTTTCGACATCATTCCCAGCTCGGAATTCTGACTCCCGAGGTAACTTGAATGCAGCATAGTGCATTATTAAAAATAAAAAAATACTGAGTTTGCAGCTAGCTTCTTCTGCGGACAGCCTCTAGTGGACGTTTAGGGAACTGCAGTTTTTAACACTTCTTAACACTTAAAGTTTTGAAAACATTTTCCACGTCCAATCCCTCGGAAAGAAACATAATCTGTGATAATTTATGATCTAATTTTAATAATAGAGGCGGCCATCTTTGTTTGGGTCTGTTAACCAATGAGAGGCTGTGTCTGCAATCAGCTGATGTGAAACCAGGCCTCCACAGTCTCAGCAGAGCCGTGAGGGTAATAAAACAAAAATAAATGCTGTTGTCTGAGGAATAATCACGAGCTGGTGTAGATCCAGTCTCTTCAGTCTCTGTTCAGATCTTTGAAGAAGACCCGTGTCAGAGTCCGGCCTGAGGATCTCTTTCTGAGGCTCTCACATGACGGCCGTACATCAGAGTGTAAAATCTTTACAGTGTTCTTCTGCGTCTCTCTCTGTCCGGTCTCGGTGATTCACGATGACCCGCGGGGGAAGTGATGGAGACGGTCGCTGCAGATGGATGGACTTTTAACGACGCTGTGTGTCTGCTGAGTGATGTGCCGCTCCGCTGTGTGTGCCGACGACCTCACTGAGGCTAACTGGTCCGTCCGGGGCGGCCATTCCTGTCAGAGCTCAACAACGGCCATCGTCTTTTAGCCACAGAGTTTAGAGACAGTGACAAACAAATACGATATTCACCGAGTAGTTAGTCGATGTGTTTTTGGAGCAGATCAGACCCTGAATCGTAAACCGTGTGGTGATCCAGATCCACAAGTCGCTCCAAAAGTTCTCAGCTGGCTAAGAAAATTAATCCTTATAAAGGTGCTAAAGACTGCAGTTCCTCAAATGTCCACTAGAGGCTAGTTGCAGAAGCTCCAGAAACCACATACACACTCATTAAATTAAACATGTTTTTAGAAATAAATGGGTTTAGTCTGAATGAATCAGTGTTTTCTTCACTTTCTCTGCACAAAGGACTATTTTTTAATTACGTTATTTTTGAAAACATTTAGATGAAGAGTTTTCTGCAATTAAAGGTCCAATATGGCGGCTGCTGTCGTCCATCCATGTTTCACACAGTCTTTGCAACCAGTATACGATTAGGCTTGGCATGGACACTTTTGGGGCATTTTTGGCATCATTGGATAGGAAAGCTAATAACAGACAGGAAACGAGGAAAGTAGAGAGCGAGGAAAGATGTGCAGCAAAAAGGTCAAGGCTAGGAGTCGCACCAGCGGCCGATGTGACCACGATACATGGAGCGCTTTAAACACTGGGCTATTCAAATATTAAAGTATTTATTTCATGCCAAAAATAAGCAGTTGGTCTGAAGTTGATAAGACAGACAGATGAAGAAGAAGCAGCAGCTGATAGTGAGACAGCTGTAGTAACTCTCAGTGAGACGATTAAACATTTTTAAAAACGACAGTAAAAGATCTTAAATCAACTTTAAAAGCTTGTGTTTTATTTATTTCCACACCTAAGTGCTTTAGAAGGACAGTTTTAGGGTTAGTGACCCTGATCATGATGAATGAATAACTGAAGTGTGTCGTCTGAATTAGTCCAGAGAGCTGTGAGTAAAAATAACTCCAGTGTGTCGGATATTTACGTCCGTCAATCTGTAAAATATTCAAACATTAACGGCGGTGAGTGAGAGAAACACAAAGATCGTCACCAAAGGTGGTCAGACAGCCAGTCGGATCAGGATTAGTGAAGCGCTGCCTGTTGTTGTAAACATCGGAGCGTCACATTCAGCAGAAACGGTGAATCAGCCCGATGACGCTGAGAACTGTATCCAAGGCCGCCGACAAATGGAGGTATATCACCTGCTTTAACCCTGAACCCTGAGCGACAGCAAGAAGCCATATCATCTAATGAGTCATCCTCTTTACATCTCGAGCGAAGCTAAGCGACGCTTTCAGCCCACAGTGTCTGTTGTCGGCTGTTAAACATGGTGCAGAGCTGTAATAGTAAGGGCAGCCATCTACTGGGGATCATTAGGTCTGATGATTACTCTGCATGATTGCATAACAGCCAAAGGAGATGAAGCTATTTCACAGAGCCAAGTGCACCCCGTGGTGCAGATGCGGCTCCCAAACACCCCGATGATAACGCCAGGATGCCTGCTGCTAAATAAATTTCAAAAGTGGCTTAATGAAAACCAGGAGAAGAAGAAGGAGCCGCACATCTTTTAATTTAAAAGACTTTGGCATCATTGGAGCTCCGGGATTTGCTTTTGAAGAGCGGATTTTCACTTTCTCCAGCCTTCAGTCATCCTCTCATCTCTGAGTTATGCGTTCACGTCCCTGTACGGCGAAGGAAACAGCATGGCTGACTTTACAGCTGCTCTGCATCCCTCGCTCTCTTTTACATCCTTTTCTTTTTGACCTTCTATATGTTGGAGGCATGTAATAAGTTCCCGTCTGTTATTGAGTCTCTCTTCTTCTTCTTCTTCTCCCCTCCTCCCCCCTGAGTCTGGAATGAGCAGGTACCTGTCTGCTATAGGTGCATGATTTATGGTGCTGAAGTCTCATTTCTGCTCTCCATGCAGAACAGGTGCGCTTTGTTTGGAGCTCTGGACTTGTCACCTGGCAGTTCTATTCTTTCCTCTCCTTTCCCAATAAGTGCATGAAAAGCTGCTGCGAGTCGCCGAGCAGATTTATACCTCTGTCTCTGTTCCCGATGAAAGCTCGGGGTTATCTTCAGCAAAAACCTGTGGGCGTTTCTATAAAACAAAAGCTTTTTTTCAAACCTATAACTCACATCACCTGCGGCTCGCATCTTCATGCATAAATATCCAACCGTGATTTTTAAGAGTCGCCTCATCTGCAGGCTGAACGCATGTCTGAGGAGCAGGAGGAGCTCGGGAATCAAAGTCTCATCCAGCCAATCAGGAGCCTGCAGCAGGAGGTCTGACAGCTGCGATCTATCACCTGAAGACAGGTGGAGCTACAGGTGAAATCAGAGCGATCAGTCTTTGTCTCAGATCGACTTTTTGATCCTTTTTACAGACTGCATTTTGTTCCGACCCTCAAGCTGAGATGTGGACTCGAGTTTGAGACTCAGACTTCAAACCCTTTTTAACGGACTTTGGACCCTCAAAACCTTCAGTCTCGACTAAAACTCAGAACGGAAACACAAAGTGAAGAGATCGTCTACGAGGGTTGCACTTCTGCTGTGAGAGTAAACACACATTAGCGAGCATGAGGGGTGTTCGAGTTGGTTCTGCAGGCGTGGATGATTCTGTATCGACGCCATCGTGACAGGAGCCGTCGTCACATGTGGACATCAGCGTGGAGAACACTGGAGAACATCGCTGTAAACAACACAAAAGTAAAAGCTCTGAGTAGTCTAACCCTGGGAGGTCAAAGTTCCACTTCCACACGTCTGGAATCTCTGACTGTATCGTGATGTGGACTCGCTCCTCGACCACTTTACAGACTTGTTTGGAGGTTCACCATCTACAGCATTCAGAGGGGACTTCTCCAGACTTGCTGTCACTAAGTCAGTGTTTTGCTAAAAGGCCTCCATCTTGACTCTTGAAGGAAGGGATGATGAGTTTGGGCCTGTCGACCAATCAGAGACTGTTGTTTTCATACAGTAGCAATCCAATCAGCAGCCAAAGATCAACAAGCACCAACAGAGTCATACTCAAATATATCACGTACCCCCACGTCTGAAATCAAAGTTTATTCATGACTTTTAAAACTGGAAAAACTTTATTCTGTCCCGTAATCTTTCAAAAACACGGCGAATGTGGCGACTTTGATAAAACTCCACCTACGTTTATCACCAACCCTAAACCACCGCTGAGGGTTTAAGGTTCAGGACATTCAGATCACTCTGTGTGATCAGACCTGAAACTGTGTTAATCCACCAGCTGAAGTCAGGCACCGTTCTTTTAACATAAACTGTGTTTTTTATGGGGACTATTTTCAGCTGCGGATGAATACGAATGAAGTGTTTGCAGCATCGTCCAACAGGTCAGTGTTCGTAATAATAAGAAAACACTTCGAGGCTGTTTGTTGGTTCGTTCGCTGAATTTGGTCAAATATTCTAAATGATGAAATCAATACTCTGATTGATACCTTCATATCGTGGAATAATAACCTTGATCGGTGTTTCCTGAGGATCGTTCTCCGTCCTGAACTGAATCACACTGACAAACTCCTGAGTGGAGTTTTTTCTAGATGAGATATGGAGCTTCTTTTGGAGGTCCCTCCTGCCATTCATTACAGGGGGCATGTGCTGCAGCATGGCGGCGGCGTCGCCTCCTAACAGGAACTTATCATGTTCAGACAAAGTGCCTCTGACAGGCGGTTCAGGGTTTAGCAGCCGCCGTGCTGCGCCGGGTCTCCCCTGGGGTATTTCATCAATGCCTCCCGTAGAGACGCCCAGCGACGCACAGCCGATCCCGTACTCTAATGATGCCACACACTGCGCTCTGATTGGCTGCGAGGAGGCTGAGGTGAGCTCTGCCAAGGTCCAAGATAGGGCGGCGTGGGCGCTGTGTGGGGTTTGGAGGGTGGCGGGGGGGGGGGTGATGTGGGCATAATTAGACTGTTGGGAGCCATGGTGATAATGGCCGTGCGCGGAGCGAGGGAGAACAGGGAAAGCACTTTAATTGAGATATAAAAGACTCGCTTCCAAGGGCACTTCACAGGGAGAGAGATGCCAGCGCCAAATGCTTACTCAGTGCAAACACCAAACAGTGACGCACGGCCCCTTAGTCTGGATTTAGAGCGCTGTTTACAAGACGGCACGTAATTAGTTCCTAATTGATGTTGGCACCTCATGCTTACTTTCTTAGTGTTTCACGAGGAGAAGGAGGCAAACAACACATGATTCATCCCAGGCTGTTTGCATAATCCGCCCGCCTTCTTCATCAAAACTGTCGTTGCCAACGGAGCGTCTCCATCCGCTCTGACCCGCTCCGGATTTGACTGAAAGAGTCGTTAACGTGTCTGGGAAGGTGAGACTGTTTCAGAGGTTTTCTACTACACCTGTGGGCCCAGACGGAGGATGGGCCGAGTCCGGCTCAGGAGGACAGTGATTGGCTGTCAGACAGATGCACAACTGTAGGCCACGTCAATCAGTATGTTTCCATGACACTCAAGAAAACAGAATTATCGCCTTATTCCGATTAAGACCGGACAACTGAAGTTCATGTAAACACCTTAGTCCGACTATAATCGGAGTTTGAGAACTCAGATTAAGACACCCAGATGATGCGATTGGAATTCGACTTTCTCTACCATGTAACCAGCGTAGTCGGAATACGATTGGACAATGCATGTGCGTGTGTGCCACGCCCCCGTAACCCCGGATCAAAACCCCCAGAGTAGAGGAGTAGCGTTGGTCTCATCTTTAGAAAAAGTAGCGCGTCCATCATGTCGGACAAAAACAACGCTGTACGATGCTCCATCTTCTTGTTTCTCCAAAATGCCCAGCAGCAGTTGTAGACACTTCTGACGTCTGACACTGACTTGCTGTTGTTGTTGACGGTTGTACGGGGTCGGAAACAGCGCCGCTGAAAAGACCCATATCGCCCCCTAGTGTTGGGGAGGAGGACACGTTCACGTCAATAATTCGATTCTCTCAGCTGCAGGTATATGAGGACAAAAAGAATGTGGATGTAGACAGACTGAGTGAGACATGAGATGATGCAGGAGCCAGCTGCAGCTTTACTCTGTCCAGGATTCAAAGAACATCCTGATGAGGAGACTTTACAAATACTAATGACAGATATTTGCTTGTTCGCTGCAGATTTCTGCATTTACCCCTGAGTTTTTTTTCTTCTGAGAACCTGCAGAAATGTTTGAGGAGCTGTGTGTTTCAACGTAACATCCTAAAGTTTAATTTCTCTTCTTCCGACTGACATAAACAAGCGTCTTTGTAAAATGTCACGTGTGAAAGAGACCCATGTCCCTGTTCTGCATTTCCGGCCCAGATGGGTTTATTTTCCAGCATTTGCACACAAATATTGTCTTGTCCTGTCTTGGCACAGTTTGTAGTAATCAAATCTAAACGAAGCTTAATTTCTGAAACAGGTGTATGCAGATTAATGTATTAGAGATGACTCAGTCTGGATGTGAAAACTCAGGAGACAAAACACCTGATTAAACACGTGTTTCCACCTCCTAACTCCAGGTCTGTCATAAAAGAGGAGAAGTTCACCAAGTTTGTTTTATTTAATGTAAATAATCATGAGTGAGTTTCATTTAAAGTCAGTGTAAGAGTTCGTGTTCTTGTTCAGCGACTGGTTTTACATGAAAATCTGACAAATGGTGTGAAGAAGAAGCTCTCCATCATGAGCATTTCTGAGCGCGAGCTGAAACACTCTCAAAAACAACTTATTATTTCCTCTTTACAAACATCTCTACAATCAGCACCTAAATTATTTTATATTATTTTTATTTTTATATGATTCCAACAGCTTTTTAAAAGTGTATTTATTCAACAAATTTAAATTTGAAAACTTGAAAACTGGTGTTCGTAGTTCTACAAACGTTCATATGTATGCGCATGTTTTGACGACAGACTCATCTTCACCACACTGAGTGATGGGACTCATGGGAAATGTAGTCTTCATGCTGGATAGATATGAATCCATGAACCCTCACAATGCTTTTAAATGTAACAGAGTAGATCTTCTTCATAACTGCATGCTTGACTCCTCCGTGAATCTTAAACCCAGTGCCGATGTTTATTTTTGCTAATTAGAGCCGCATACGGAGCCGAAGTCGGAGCAGCACTTTTTAGATTTCTGTGTTTTTGGCGGCAGAACAGGCAGGAGTGATTGACGCGTTTGACATGTTGGCGGTGGAGCACATGTTGCATGGAAACAAAAAAAGGGGTTTGGTAAGTTTCTGAGCAAATACTAGGGAATGAGGTCTCAAAGGTTTGCTCTTTCTTTCTTTCTATCTTTCTTTCTTTCCCTCTCTTTTTCTTTCTTTATTTCTTTCAACCTTTTTTTCCTTTTTTTAATCTTTATTTCTCTTTCTTTTTTTCTGTCTTTCTTTCTTTCTTTTTTCTTCATCTCTTTCCTTTTTTTCTTTCTTTCTTTCTTTCTTTCTCCCCTTTTTTCTGTCTCTCCTTTTTTCTTTCTTTTTCTTTCTGTCTTCTTTCTTTCTTTTTTCTTTCTTTATCTCTTTCTTTCTTCCTTTTTTCTTTCTGTCCTTTTTTCATTCTTTCTTCCTTTCTTTCTTTCTTTCTTATTGTTCTTTCTGTCTCTTTTTCTTTCTTATTTTTCTTTCTTTCTTTTTTCTATTTTTCTTTCTATTGTTTTCTCTCCCTTTTTTCTTTTCCTCTTCTCTCTTTTTTCTGTTTTTCCTTCTATTTTCTGTCTCTCTCTTTTTCCTTTTTCCTTTTTTTTCTTTCTCTTTCTTTTTTTTCTCTTTCTTCTTTCTTTCTCTTTCTCTTTCTTTCTTTCTTCTTTTTTCTGTTTTTCTTTTTCTTTTCTTTCTCTTTCTTTTTTTCTCTCTTTCTTCTTTCTCTCTCTCTCTCTCTTCCTTTCTTTCTTTCTCTTTTTCTTTCTTTCTTTTTTCTGTTTTTCTTTCTATTTTCTCTCTCTCTGTTTTTCTTTTTTGTTTCTCTTTCTTTCTCTTTCTCTCTCTTCCTTTCTTCCTTCATGCCCCTGCACAAACTCATGCCCCTGTTTTAACCAACATCGCCCCGCGTCTCCTTCTTTTACACACTCTCGCACACTTACCCTCACTTTCCTCGGAGTCATTTCGGTTCAGGACTTTGTTGTTCCATTGATTGAACAAGACCATCAATAGCTTTCAAATACAGCTACCTGTCTGAAGAGGAGCTGTGGAGCATGAACAGCAGCACCTCAAAAGATTTCCTGCTAATACTCTCCTTCCCCAGGTAGCCCAGGCGCCCTGCTATTATTTCCAGCCTTTTGCCTTCGGCCCTTTCTCTCTCTTCTGAGGTGAGAGGGCTTTGTCGCCGCATGAACGCAGAGCCACCAAGACACATCGCGAAGCGGAGGGAGAAATGTTTCCATGGTAGCCGGCTCAAGGTTATCAGGACAACAATATAAAATGAGCCCTCCTGGGACTCAACCTCCGCTTACCAGCCCCATTTTGCCACCAGGGCTCCTCTACATTTCTGCTTCGCTCTTTCACGCTCGCACACAGGAGGACAGGTTGACTGGATGGATTTTTTCCGCTGGCTCCGCTGGGACCTGAGCACAAGAGTTGGCACCTGCAGGGGGGGAGAGGAGTCTGAAGCTTGAAGGAGAGCGAGGCGGATGCACAGGTCTCCCAGGTTCGGTCTAATGGCCCCGCTTGGCCCAACCTACCGCTGTTGGTCAGATGGCCCGCTCTGCTACCAGGCAGCAGGGCCAGCGGCTTGCTTTCACATTCACTTCAACCTGGCTTTGTCAAAGACTCTCAATGACTTTCCAAAAATAGGCCGGGGGGAATTGAACAGAGAGGGAGAGGAGTGTGAAGTCAGAAAAGGTGAAACAAAAGGCTGCCTTGAGTGCGGAGGTGCAAGGAGAAGCATATGTTGGTTTAATGCTCTCATTACAGACCCTCTCTCCTGGCCTCAGAAGGGTCCTTCAATTTACAACGAGCTGCAGAACGGAGACAAAGACAAAGAGGCGGGTTTTCATGAGGCAGTGGCGGTAAAGGAGTGTTTACCTGCGACACTTTGAGGAGCGGCATCAGTGAGCGGAGATCATCAAAACCGACTCCAACATGCGTGTGCCCGGCAGGCGCTGTTTATCTCCGTGTGACAGGCCGGTATTCAAGATGAAGATGTTACCCCCCCCCCAGTGACAGCTAAAGCCTGGCCGCCCCCTCCTCTGCCTCAGGACTCCCCGCCCCCCCCGTCGGGCCCACCTCCCCCGAACACCAGGCTGATAATTGTTAGAACTCCCAGCAGGTGATGGTGCCGGTTTAATCCAGTGTGGGTGTAATCCCAGTGAACTATCTGGGACTGAAGGCCTTAACTACACCTGCAGCCGCCCCCCCACAGGAAAACCCAGAGGAGGGGAGGCTTTCAGGTGGACCAGGAGAGTAAATCCACTTTGGGTTTTATAGAGCAAGAAAGAGAAGAAGAAGAGGGAGTCAGAATACGAGGAGGAGGAGGAGGAGGCGAGTGTGTGAGGACATTGAAATAGGTGGTAAATGAAATAATGCTTATCGAGCACTTTTCTAGTTCTTACACGGCGTGTAATAATCTCGCCACTTTCAAACAGGCGGGAACGATCAGTGTTAGCTAGTCTGTACACACACATGTTCACACACCGTTGACCATATCAACAGGAGTAACTCAGGGTTCAGTGTAACTGTTAGAGCTGGGATCAAACCACCAACCTCACCCATTTGTTTCTGAAGCCCCCAGTGGACAGTCTGGGAACTGCAGTTTTTGGCACTTCTGCAGAGCGGAGGATGCTGCTCAGTTTAGACTCCAGTTAGGAGTTAGGAGAGAAAAATAAAGACACTTAAAGGGATATTCCAACGTAAATTAATTTAGTTTAGTTAGACCCCCCCTCTAGAGATGAATGTTGTCGACCGCTTTCTTCTCTAGTTATACCAACTTTAGTAACGACCGCAGGATAGAAATACAGAGAGGTCTGAGGAGCCATAAACAAACCTCAACCAGACCAAAGACCAAAGGCCAGTCCATTACGGACTACAGCGGGGTGCCGCAACTCAAGGAAGAACATTTTTGATCATTTCTTTATCATTTCCTTGAAGTAATAATCACCATATTAATCATTTTACAGACGCTGTAGTTCTTCTGTCTTAGCGTCTCGGTCTGATTGTATTTCCATGAAGAAATGATCATAAATGTTCTTCCTTGAGCTGCGGCACCCCGCTGTAGTCTGTAATGGACTGGCCTGAGGTCTCACTACAAACAAGCGTCTGCTGGAAGAGAGTAGGTGAGTTGTGTTTAGTCTCTTTGCTAAAGAAATGAGTCAAAGTTAAAAAGATGTTTGGTGTCTAGTACTATGTCTGTGACCCTATATGTCCTGTTGATGAAGTTAGGTGCTGTTCTGAGCATTATTTGTGGCTATAGAGTGGCGTTTTGGTTGAGGGCGTGGCTCTCTGTATTTCTATCCTGCGGTCGTTACTAAAGTTGGTATAACTAGAGAAGCGAGCGGTCGACAACATTCATCTCTGGAGGGGTTACGGTGTGTTTGACCCTAAGTTAATTTTATGCCAGAATGTCCCTTTAAAGCTCCCATGAGGAACCTTTGATGTGTGTTGATTTTGGCGCCCCCTGTGGACAAACCAGTCTTTGCATTTCTTGCCTTCTACATCCTTTAACAGCATCTCAAGACAAAAGGAAAAATCCTGTTTGCTCATAAAGGAGTCGATGTGAATTCCAGTCTGATCCGTAGATGTTAAAGACTAACAAAGTCCCTCATGGAGGTTCAGTTTCTCAGGTAAGACTCTAGTGTGAATAAAGATGCGGCTCTGCTGTAGTCCTAACAGGAAAGGAGGTGCAGATTAATGTGGATTTGCTGCAAATGAGGATACATATTTAGCCTGAGGAGATGTGAGTGAGGACGTGACCTGCGTTGACTCCGTATCCCACCCGGCTCTGAGCGGACCCCCCTCCCGGCTCTGCCCTCAGGGTTGGATAAATGTTGGCTTTAGAGGCTCAGTGGATTGAATTATTTTCACGATCAGGCGATAATGAATGACTTGTTAGAAAAGCTTCACTTCGTCCCTAAACGGAGTCAAATATTCGGCTTTTTAAGATTTTCGGTGGGTGTGCGTGTTACAGAGCCGGGCGCCGTACTGCGTGGATAAACGGACTGCTGGCATGGAAATCACACAGGCTCCACTTGGATACACATGCATACACAGTCACCTCAATCAGCGTGTCTGTTTCCTTCTGCAGTCACAGGCACTTAGTGTTAACAAGCTGAAGGGAGCACATCTCCACTCCTCTCCAGCTCACCCCTCAGCAGCTTCACATTTTCTATTTAAATAACACGGCTTTGCTAGCTCTCACTTACAACCTGTTTTTTCTTGTTGACCTTCAAATCTCCTGTGGAGACCCTGCACCATCATTGTGTCAGTGTGGGCAAGCAGGAGCTGGACTCTTTCCTGGACCCTGCTCCTCTAATGAGGGATATCAGCGCTTTGGCACAGCTCACTGGCAGAGTGCATAAAAATGGATGTGGACGAGGTGCAGCTCCACACAACCGTCCCACAGACTTGGCTCAAGGAAGCGGTGCCCGGAGGGATTGGGTTGCATTATCGAATTTTTAAAATATGCCCATTATTTCAGCGTTGTATTTAATCCAAAATCACCTTCGGGATTCTGGTTATTTGCAGATAATAGGGGCGACATTGTTAGCAGAGAGGTGTTTTTACAATGTCACAGGATCAGTTTCCCTCCTGTGTCAGGCAGAACTGCAGACTCACAAACAGACTTCACAGCTGAAGTAGAGAGGCCTTGAAATGGAAATTAATGACACTGGGTCTCATTACTGTAACGTCAGGAGAGAGAATGAAAGGAAAGTGTGTGCAGACGGAAATTTACGATAGGTGATCCGGCGTACATCGATGTTTCACAGCCACAAAGTGTTCACCTGCTTCTGTCATGTTAAATGTTTTGATCTGTAGATATGATATGGTTCATGATAGACAGAAACCTTTGAGACCGCTGCACTGAAGACCTGAAGGTGGGGTGTTACTCTGTGAGTACTACACGTGTGAGGACCCTTCAGAGTAAAACAAAGTAAAAACAACAAACTGTTCAGATTCAACAACAAAGAGAAGTAAATATATAAAACAAATATTTAAGAATAAAAGAAAATTAAAGCAGCAGCCTCTGGTCCTGAAAGTAAAACTGATGCTAAAACTGCAGTTCCTTAAGTGTCCACTAGAGGGTGGCTGCAGAAGCACCAGAAACCACATACACACTCATTGGAAAAAAAAAAAAGGCAGTTTCTAGAGCAGAAATGAAACATGTTTACAACCAGGTAAAGAACGGGGGTTTGGGGTTTTAGACTTCTCTAAAACTCGAAGGTCTAACTCAAAGTTCAGACATTTTTTTTTAACTTTTTGGTTCATTTTTTATAGACTTACTTTTATGTGAGGTTGACCATCTTAAATTTTCGACTCTATCATTTCCCCTTTCTATCCCTCCGTTCTCTTTTGTTTCTTCTTCCTGTGTTGCCGTTTGGGTTCATTTAGATTATTCTGGTTTTTATAAAGTGTTCTTGGTTTCTTAAAATCCGTTTAACAATGTTGGCTGATGTTTCATGGGTTTCTTGTTTGCTGTTGCAGTTTTGTCTTCTATGCTTTGGCTTATCTAATAGTCAAAGCGCTTGTGTGCACAATACAGAATCTGTCCTTGTGGATCTGCAGACACTTGGAGTATTACTGCATATTTTTGTAAAATGGAGGTTTAACTGTTTTACACGACACACAGGGTTAACTCACTAAATAAAGTCCTGACTTATGACTCTGACTCTACACACACAGACCACTGGTTCTGGCTTTAAATGAAGTCCACAAAGTGACTCTGAGTGGTACAGAGCAAACTTACCCGCGATTTCCACCGCATCAGGAACAGCAGCGATTTTTGCTGAACGACAACTCCTACTGGATCTGTTTGTGAGGAGAATTTCGTGGCGGATTACAGTCAGCAGAAATCACAAGAACGCGCGGATTCACGTGCAATCGCGCGATAACCAGTTGTCTCTCTAAAGACAGACACATAGACATATAAGCAGTAGATTGTGTCCTTCCAGAGCAGGAAATCTACTTCTAGACTTCTAGAATCAGCATCTCCTCATCCATGGTGTCATCGGGGTGAAATGACGTCTAAAAACCTTTCACTTGTTCGTCCCCGCCCGTTTGCATGGTGTGAAATACGATCCTCCTGAAACACGGAGTGTTTTATTTTGAAAAGAAGACGGATGTTTTATTTTGTGTCTGTGCCCGACTTCCTTTCCAGCACGGGTTAATCTGTGCTGAATTTATCCGCCATGCTCCGGCGTCCAGAAAAAATAGAGCTCTTGTGATCAGCTGAGGAGTCCGGCGATCCGCAGAGGAACGGAAAGAAGTCGGTGTAAATTGACACGTTAACTTGAATGTTTACGATCAGCTACGATCGGAGGATACGACCTTTTAGGAGACGATCAGGATGAAGGTGGAGATTGGGGGATAGTGTTGTGAAGGCGAGTCTGACCTGACGGCTGTTTCTCTAAATCCATTTTCCAAAAATCGCTTCAGCTGGTCCACAGGAAGTACATACATACATCTCCATATATGGTGATCATTGGCTATTCACAGGTGGGAAGTCGTGCGTTTATGATTAGTTTTCATTCACAAACATGTAGACACACTTACAACTAAACCAGGTCCAGGTTTGAAGGACCAAAGACTTTTTTTTTACTTTATCCTGAATGTTAAAAAACCAACAAACACTGACTCCCCTTCAGAGGAGAAACACAAGGATAATAAACTCATGGAGGAGATTTTCAGGGGTGCTGGAGACTCATTATCTTGTCACGTATCATAAAAAAGACAGCAAAGGCCGTCATCGGGGGGTCTCTGCGAGCGTGTCCACGCTCCCCGGACTCTTCCTCTTCCTCTCCTTCAGCCTGAGCAGACAGCAGACCTCCCCTGAAGCACATAACCAGAGAGCGAGAGAGCTCCATCGATTGTCTCCTCGGCTCCTTCTGCTGAGAGGTCTCATTGTGTCTGTCACACTCCCACACACTCAGACACACACCTGCACATACATAGGCACATATATAGTCAAGCCCTAATATAACTCAGGCAACATATGCCACCCTGGAGGGCTCTGCTGTTTGACATCCCGCTCGCTGAGTGCTCAATTAAAGTGTGAAAGTGTGTTGTTAATGCCTTAAACCATTAACAACACTGGATCCTGTCAGCACACTATCACTCTGCGAACCCCCGCACTCTGTCCCGCTTGACTTTGGGCCTTCCCGGCTCGCCTCTCTGGTGCCCGATCTTTGTCAGAGCAGAGCAGGAAGGCTGTAAAACACCGCGGCTTTATTGGTCTCTGCCACTCAGAGCCGGAGCGGAAATATCCGCCTGTTAAATAGGGAAGAATGGAGACGATGATGGAGAAGTTTACCATCCGTTTTCTCTCCCTCTCATTTCGTCGGTCACGGCTTTGTGCGCGTGGATTAATGACAACTGAATCTGAGGAAATGTGTTTCTTAAAATCCTCATCGAGCTTCTTTAGCTTTCACTGTAACCTCTCAAATTAAGCTTTTACAGCAGCCTCGTGTTTCCAAAGACGTCTGAAACACACACCATGCTCTCTCTGTGTGTGTGTGTGTGTGTGATAGACTAATATCCTGCAGTGTGATTTACATTTCTCTGCAGCGTTCGGATGAAATCATGCAAAAGGAAGAAATTAACACCTCTCCGAACCTCTATAAAAAGGTACAACATAAACATGTGCATGCAGATCCAAGCACACGTGGGGGAAAAGTGTTAATTGACCAACCTGCCAGGCAATTATTGTCGGTTGACCTCATAACCAAAATGTGTTTCTGATTATCATGCTTCAGAGGGTCTGTTGTCAAGGAGTCCATGTTTTAAACTGTTTAGACAGCACCTTCCACAGTCTGCAGGGGACCGTTCTCAAATCAGGCGAAAATGTAATCCAAGCTCCCAACTAATGGGAAATAAAAAAGAATCATTTCAGTGTCTGGATCTGATCAGAGAAGTCTCATCGTATATAACCACCAGGAAATGAACAGATGGTTAGAAATAACCAAATCATTACCTGGAATCAAAGAGAGAGAGAGAGGATGTTTTATCCTGAAAAATGAGAATAAAGTTTAAATTCTGAAGTTCACACCTCTGAAAAAAACCATCGCTGCAGTGATGTGTTCAACGCCGACTCTAATAGATCAGATCCAGATTTCAGACAGGACTGTGAAAAGCTTTAGACCAGGTGAAAAAAAACACACAAAGCTCTCTGTAAAGAGGTAAAAAGCTTTTATTAAAGCGTCTCTTTATAATAGAAAAAAATACTAAAAACAGGAGAAAGTTATTTAAAACATCAGAAATAAAAACCATGTGCATAAAACTACGTTTACACGTGCCCAGATATTTTCATAAACAGACACTTAACCCTCTCTGTTTACAAAAAAACTGTGTGTACACCGCTACATTTTCAG